GGAGTCATCAATAGAGAAAGAGTGTACTCTTTGGGGAATTAACCTTCTCAGTAATATCTCTCAATGTTAATGGCCTCAGCTCTCCAATTAAAAGACAGAGTTTGACAGACTGGAGAAATGATCCAACAGTCTGTTGCATTCAAGAAACTCATTTAATCCAAAAAGTTATTCATAAACTAAAAATCAGAGGATAGAAAACAATACTTCATGCACTGCCCCCCCACCCAAAACAAGCAGGGGTAGCAATTTTACTTGCAGAAAGGGTAAACTTCAAGCTAAAAGATCAGAAGAGACAAATAAGATCACTACATACTAATTAGGAGAATATTTCAACAAGAGATAACACCTGTAAATACATACGCACTGAATACTGGAGCATATATCTTCATAAAACAAATACTGCTAGACATAAAAGATCAAATAAATATTAATACTATCATGGTGGGTGACATCAATACCCCACTTCTTAAAAGAGATAAATCATCTAAAAAAATCAGTAAAGAAAGAACAGCTGAACCACACCCCTGAACATATGGACTTAATAGATATCTACAGAGTGTTCTACTCTACTACAGCAAAGTACACATATTCTCTGCAGCACATGGAAATTTCTCCAAAATAGATAACATACTAGTCAAAAAAAGCCTGCTTAAATAAATATAAAAGAATAAAAATCACCCTGTGTTTACTATTAGACCATTATGCAATGAAACTAGAAATTTAGAAACAGAAAAATTAAGAATGTTGGCTCTATAAAAGACCCTGTTTGAAGCATGAAAAGACAAGCTATGGACTAGAAGAAAATATTTGTTAACTGTGATAGTTAATTTACTAATTGTCAGCTTGAGTGGAAATGCCCAGATGATTTGAGACAGCATGGTTGCCAGAATGGTATAAAAGGAGAATGGGAGGGGAAGACTTCAGCTGATCTTCCTTGAAGGAACTTTGTTGTGGCTGTTTTTCTTCAGGAGAGTTTCAGTGGTTTTTCTTTCTTCAGAGGAGCTTCAATCCTCGACTTCATCATGGATGTCACCTCCTGGCTTCCTCCTGTGCTGCAGACCAGCACACAGACAGACATTTTGCACTCTTCTACATCTGACTCTAGTAAGGACTGACTAATACACCAACCAACAAGGGACTTGTACTTAGAGTAAAGAACTCTCAGATCTCAACATTTACAAAAAAATCCAATTAGAAAATAGTCAAAGAATATGAGCAGAAATTTCACCAAAGGAGATATACTGTTAGAAAATAATTACATAAAAACTGTTCAACTTCATTGCCCACCAAGAAATGCAAAATAAAAGCACAATAAGACGTATGTGTTAGAATATCTAAAATTTAAAAATTCTGACCATACCAAATATTGGAGAAGATCAGAAAAACTAGATCACTCAACATTTCCAGGAGGTATGTAAAACAACAGTCATTCTAGAAAATAATTTTGCAGTTTCCTCTAAAACTACAAATGTACTTCCCTCATAACACAGCAACTCTTGGGCATTTATACAATGGAAATGGAGACCTATGTTCAAAAAAGAAGAAATACCCATATGTAAATATTCCTAGCAGTTTTATTCACAATAGCCAAAAGCTGAAAACAATCCAGATATCTTTCAGTGGGTGAAAGACAGATTGTGCTACATCCATTCGATATATGACTACTCAGCAACACAAAGGAAAATTTATTATTATATGCAACAACTTCAGTGAATCTCAAGAAAATTTTTGCTGAGTGAAAACAATTTCAAAAGCTTAATATATGATTCCATTTATATAGCACTTTGGAAATAATATTATCAATGTAGAGAACTGATTAGCAATTTCCAGAGATTAGAAATGATGAGAACAAACAGTGGTAAGTTTTGCTAGAAAAGGATAGCAGGAGTCAGCTTTTTGGTGATACAGTTTTGTATTATGACCATGGTGGTAGTTACATGAAGATACATGTATGATATAATTGTACAGGACAACATATACACACAATGTGTGTCTAACTGGTGAAATCTGTAGATTGTATCAATATAAATTTCCTGATTTTGATACTATATTACAGATATACAAAATGTCAACACAGTATTGGAGTTAAAGGGGAATAGGGCTTCCCTATACATTTATTTGCAGCTTCATATAAATTTATAATTATTTCCAAAACATATTTTTTAAAAATCTGCATATAAAAAGAAAATAAAAATCCATGTAATGTTTTCTGATTCCTTTATTTAATAACTCTAGCTTCTGGGGGGTTTTCCTATTCTTGTAATAAACCTATGTAAAGCCACATGGCCACATCCAGATGAAGTCAGAAAGGATTTCCACATAGAGGTAGCATTTGAGCCACAGTTGGCCAAATATGTAAGGATAGGAGAACCTTCTACACACTAAGTGATACTGACACAGAGAAGGCTCGAGGTAGGTACAATTAACAATACAGGTTGACCTGGTAGGGATCATAGTTTCTATACCCTAGGCTGGGACACATGACTACCAGGTATGAAACTATAATGGGGAAAGGTAGGATTGAGTCTTTGCCACTAGAATTGTCATAGATACAGAAATGTTTTGTTTGTAAGTTAATTCATAAATACAGAAATTCATAGATACAGAACTGTCATAGATACAGAAATGTTTTGTTTGTAAGTTAATTCATAAATACAGAAATTCATAGATACAGAACTGTCATAGATACAGAAATGTTTTGTTTGTGAGTTAATTCATCTCCATTGAGTTTGCTTTCCTAATTCCATGTTGGGAATATTGTAGCTTTCTTTAGTTTTGACATCTTGCTGTTTCCATATGTTACAATATATTTTACAAATAAGTTTCTATTGCTGATTCTTACTCTTTTAATATCTTTTAATGTCACATAAAGTCACATTGACATGAGTAATTATTTTAGGGGCAGTCACGTTCACTAGAAGAGTCACCTCGCTAACCTAAGCAGTGTCAGTTTGGTGAACAATAAATAGGTGACCACATGTGCATGCTACTGTGTGTCATTCTCACATGTAGACAAGACAGTTACAGTGCAGTACAGTTTATTCAGCCATAAAAAAAATACCTTTTGGCTGCAAAACTACCCAGAAAGACACTTCAGGTGTGAAGGAAAACCTTAATCTTATTTTCTTAAACTGTATTATTTTAAAGCTTTATATCCTAGTGTGTAGTAGTTATCCTCACAGAAATGGGTATAACATCATAAGGTTTTAGAAGTAGAGTACCATAGGAGAAAAGATTCCTACATAATGTAACCCATTGCTCTATAGTAGAACCCCACTTATTTGGTCCTCACCAACTTATTTCTTCAGGTTTTCTATTTTCAGCAGGAATTAAAAGTAAGAATGCACCAGATCCCTTGTTCTCATGCCCCACATCTTATTAAATGCCACCTTTTCTCACAGACATACTTTCTGCCCACAGAAAGACATTTTGCTTTTCTTTCTTTTTTTGACCACATTCTTTGGTTGTTTTGTTTTGTCTTTTTGATTTGGTTCATTTTGGTTTCTGGTACTGGGGATCGTACCCAGGGGTGCTTTACCACTAAGCTACATCCCCAGTCTTTTATATTTTTTATTTTGGGGTAGAGTTTTGCTAAGTTGCCCCAGGCTAGCCTTGGAACTGTCATCCTGCTAGGGTAGCTGGGATTAAAGGTGTGCCACTGTGCTGGGCTAGACAACATTCTTGGTCTTGCTTATCACCACCCTTTAGTACATGTTCTATTTTTGGTGCTTTATTCTAAATCACTGCATTACTCCTCCTCTGATCATTTGCTGCCTACGTTGCTCCTGCTACCATGTCTATCCTATGTATCTCTACTCTAGTCTTTCCCAGTCCATGTGGCTACAATTTGTTTGTGGTAACCCTGATTGCAATAAACCATGCCAACCTCTTTAGACATCCAGTCATACCTAGACCCATCACAGCCAAGGATGAGCTAAGCAAAGAAGAGCATGCCAGGTGAACTCTCTGGAAAAGCAAAGTGTCCATACTTTTACAAAGATCACATCTTCATCAGTTCAACTAATTGTGGAAGTATAAATTTTATAGTATTGTTTATGTGTGTGTTCATATATTTTAATGATTTATGGCAGTGGTGTTGAAAATATTGATGAAGGAGCTTGATAATCATTCTGATGGATAATATGCACCATGGGTTTCTCAACAAATTATATAAAATTAACACATTTAAATCTAATTAGAACTATAAAGATATTTTTATTAAACTTTAAGAATAATGATAGATAATTACTGTGATGAATTCTGGCTTCATGTGAGGCAGCATACTATTAGAAATATTAAAATTATTAAATAATAAATCCTTTCTGCCCATAAATTTATTAGTTTTAGATACTGTATCTTTCTAGTCTTCTCTACCCATACCTTTCTTCATAAATGTATAGAATGTATCCTAGTTACTATTTTAGAACTGCTACCCAACAAATTCATGCTAGTACATTTAAATTTACTTTCCTAAATCATGTTGGCAAGAAAACAATGTTATTTCAATAAAACCCAAAATGTTACACAGATAGTCTGTTATTCATTTATGTGAGTATTTACAAAGCTGACTGAATTGGCATTTGGTATCATTTAAAGGCTAAAAAACAACTACTAAAATGTTTCATGCCTCATTTATCAATACAACCCTTTTTATCACTTATTCAGAATCACTACTGAATTTAAATTTATTTACTTACTGTTGAGACAGGGACTTCCTATGTAGATCAGGCTGGGCTTGAACTCACTGTTGGCTCAAGTTGACCTGGAATTTGTGGTGACCCAGTGGAGACCCTGCCTCAGCCACCCGAGTGTTGGGATTACAGGTGCTTGTCACAAAGCCAGGCCTGAATTTAAATTTAGCCTTTTGGTTAGGTGTCATTATACTCTCAGAAAAGACATCTTGGGTTTCAACTATTTTATAAGAAAATCAGTTTTTAGAGAAATATGTTTTATGATTCAATGTTGCCTATTTGTATGTAAACTTTGAATTTTCTTTACAGAAATCAACACATTAAATAAAAGTTTGACAGTGTACCAGAGAAATAAGGCATGCCTTGAAGAGGAAATGAAAACTCTCAGATTCTTGTCAGATGCAGCCATATTAAAATCTCAGCAGACTGAGGCATCCAAACAACAGAAAGTAAACTTGCAAGCCAGGTGCTATGATTTACAAAAAGAAGTACTAGGTAAAGAGATCTCTTTTTTGCTGTTATTACTAACTGACCATATATAATAAGGAAATGTTTAAAATTTTTCTAATAGTCACAAATCTTGTTTTAATTAATTTGTCTTGCAAATATACCTAATCGTAACTCTAATGATAACTGTGTGATCGATGATTGCTCCCTTCCCTCCAGTTTTGCTGATAATTAAGTGGATATAGTAAAGACATTTCAAGCATGTGGTAAGATTTAAGAAAAACAAAATGAAATTTACTTTGGTGTATTATTATCAGTGGATTGGTGGTTTGGGGTACAGCATATGCTCTTGTATGAGGTGAATCCAAATTTTTACTTGTAATATTCTATTTCTAAAACTTAACATTTAAAAATTATGAAGCAATGTGATGAGTTTTTAAAGGCTAGTGTTGAACATACAACTATTAATTATAGCATTCTTCATACTTCCTTATTATGGCAAGAAAAAAAACATGACATCAAGTCTACCCTTTCAGTACTTTTAAGTGTACTGTACTCAGTTCAGTAGTTTTAAAGGATATTTACACTTTATGCAACAGATCTATAGAACTTTTTTGTCTTGCAAAACTGAAATTTTATACCCACTAAACACTAATTTCCTCTCCCCTCCCACCTTTGTCAGCCACCTGTTTACTTTCTGTTTCTATGAATTTAACTTTTAGATTCCACATGTAAATGAGATTATGTAGTATTTGTTGTTCTGTCTCTGGCTTGTTTCATTTAGCACAGTGTCATTTAGGTTTGTCCATATTGTCACAAATGCTAGGATTTCCTTCTTTTTGTGGATGAATAGTATTTCAGTGTACATATAAAGACCGTATTTTCTTTATTCGTCAGTGGACATTTGGGTTGTTCCTACCTTTTCTCTATTACATATAATGCTCCAGTGAACATAGACATGCAGATGTCTCTTCAAGAGCTTGCCTTGAGTTCTTCTGGATATATACCTAGAGTTGGGATTGCCGGGTCATGTGAGCAACATCCATACTTTTTCTATATCATCAGGTATATAGTGCCCTTATCATTTTACATTTCCACCAAAAGTGTGCAAGAGTCTTAGTTTCTTTGCATCTTTGTCAACACTTGCTATTTTCTATTGGTCACTTAAATATCTTCCTTGGTAAATTATCTATTCAAATCCTTTGCCTATTTTAAAAATTCAGTTATTTGGGTTTTTGTTGTTGCTGTTGTTGAATTACTGAATTTCTTCACAAATTCTGGATATTAACATCTTATCAGAATGATTCTCCCATTCCATAGGTTACCTTCCAACTGTTGATTGTATCCTTGGTGTACAGAAGTTTGATGTATTCCCTTTTGTGTGTTTTTGCTTTTGTTGCCTATGCTTTTGTATTATATCCAAGCAAGCATTATCAATGACTTATTAGCATATTCTTATAGGTGGTAAGTTTTTTCTTTTTCCACTGTTCTTAATTTTTTTTCCCAGTACCAAGAATCAAACTCAGGACCTTGTGCTTGCCAGGAAGGCACAGCACCACTGAGCTTGGCCCTCCACTGTTCTTACTTTTAAATATATATTTGGTAGGCATTTATTCTTCCACTTGAACTTTAAGATATATTTTTTACCTATAATCCAAAGGCTCTGATAGATCTCTAGTAAAATTTTCTCTCTCTAATCTTTACATATTTCTGATGTATTCACAGACAGTTATTCTTCCACATAAACTTTAAGAAACCATTATTTAACTTTAATCCCAATAGAACTTCTAATTAGATTGCATTTTATTTATATGCTAAGTTTTGGAGAATTCACATTTTTGTAATATTAGGTCTTTTGTTATAGAAATATTCTCATTTAAGAATATGATATGTTATTTAATATGTTTTATGTTCTTTAATCAGATTTTACAGTTTTATTAAAATATGTTACTTTGATGCCCTTACTAAAGTTTAACAAGTTATCATTTTTTCAAGAAAATTAATAATTTATTTTATTTAAAAATTTTATTTCCTTTCCTCCTGCACCCTTTTCTTCAGTATATGCTTGGGGTGTATAATAATTGCACTCATATTGGGGAATTGGTACAAAGATTGCATCGTAATCATTTTAACTTTCCCTTCCCTGCTCAACACCCTCATCTCACCCCATCCCCAATTCCCTGTCCCATCATAACAAAGGCTACCTCTTTGCTTCCTATCATCTATCTTTTCTTTTGAACTTCAATTATTTGTATTTTGGGTTTCTCATAAGGGAAACCATGCAATATTTAACCTTCTGTGTCTAATTTATTTCACTTAGCATTATGGTCTGAAGGTGCATCTATTTTCCAACAAATGACTCAAGTCTATCCTTTCACACAACGGAGTTGTACTCCATTGTGTATAAATATATTTTCTTTATCTGTTCATCTGTTGATGGGCCTCTATCTCACTTATAAGATGTAGCTGTTATGAGTTGTGCTGCTATAAAAATGGGCATGCACGTATCGCTATAATATGATGTCTTAACTCTTTTGGGAAGATAAAAGAGGTATAGCTGCATCAAATGGAATTTCTGTTTTTAATTTTTGAGGGATATATTGATTTCCATGGCAGGTGTACTAGCTTACATTTCCACTAGCAATGTAAAAGGGTTCCTTTTCTCCCACATTCTCACCAACATTTGTTTTTATTTGATTTCTTTTTATTGTTATTTGTTTTTGATTCATTAATATTTATTTTTAAAAATGTTATTTTATTAATACATGTTTAGAGTACATGCATCTTACAATCATCCTGGGGAGTTTGTACATGTATATAATACAGCTTTTTTCTTTTTTTAATCCCCTTCTCTCCCCACTTTGTTCTTTGGTTCCCCTTTCCCTCTTTTCATTCTTGTTGATATTGTTAATCTTAGTTCATGTTTATGGTATACAATGTCCATGTCGTTGAGGTTATTAGGACCTTGTACCTGGCATGTCTTCACTCTATTTCCCCATCCCCTCCCCACCACCCCAAGCCTTTTGTACCCTTTTGTACACCTTCTCATCTGCAAGAGATCCATCCCCTTGCTCTTTCTATCCTTCCTTTATTTTTCTTTGTACTTTACCTTACTCAGATGAGACATACCATATGGTATTCAAATTTGTGTGTCTGATTCATTTCACTTAAATCATATTTTCCAGGTGCATCCATTTTCCTACAGATGCCTCAAATTTGTCCTTTATAGCTTAGATACAGTACTACATTTTCTCTATTCAATCATCTATTTTGGGGTATATATTCTGTTTCCAGAATTTAGCTTTATAAGTTGTACTCCTCTAAACAAAGTAGCCCTTCTTTCTGGAGTAAAATGGAATATGAATGTTGTTTTGATTTGTATTTCTCTTATGACCAGAGTTGTTAAACATTTTTTCATGTGCTTATTGGCCACTTGTACTTCTGCTTTGAGAAGTGTGTATTCATTTCAGTTGCCTATTTTTCATTGAGTCTTTTGATTTTGGGGGTCTAATATTTTTGAGTCCTTCATATATTCTAGATATTAGTCCTCTGTCCAAGAAATAGCTAGCAAAACTTTGTTCCCATTAGGAACACTGTTAGTTGTTTCTTTTGTTGTGCAGAAGATTTTTAATTTGATATAGCACTATTTGTTGATTCTTGATGTTATTTCTCATGCAATTTTGGTTCTATTTAGAAAGTCTTTGTCTATGCCTGTGTCTTCAAGAGTTTTATTTATTTTATCTTCCAGCATATTCAGTGTTTCTGTTTTAATATCTAGGACTTTGATACATTTTGGTTTTATTTTAATAAAGGGTGAGAGATATGGGCCTATTTTCAACCTTCTGCATGTGTATACTCACTTTTCCCAGCACCATTGTTATTTTCCCCCCAGTATATGATTTTGGCTCCTTTGTCAAAGATCAGATAGCTGAATGTGACTAAGGTTGTTTCTGCATCCTCTATTCTGTTCCATTGATCTGTATGTCTGTTTTGTGCTAGTACCATGCTGTTTTAATCAATTTAGTTTTGTAATATTACTTGAAATCTGGGATTGTGATGCTGCCTGCTTTGCTTTTGTTGACTAGAAGAGAATAATGAGTACCCTTGTCTCATTCATGGTTTTACAAAATCTCACTGAAAAAGAATTTTTGTGTTTAAATAGAAATTTTAATGAAAATTGGAAAATATGTAGAACTGAATGATAAAAAACACTACATCTCAAAACATGGCAGGAAGCTAAAGTGGTGCTTTTGAGGGAAAGGTGTAACCTTAGCTACTTACATAAGAAGAAAATAATAAATCCAAAGAACATAGAAGGAAAAAATATAAAAATAAGAGTAGCAGTGAATGAAATAAAAAATAAGAACATAATAAAGAAAATCAACAACAACAAAAAGAAATATTGATGTTTTTAAACAAGGGAAGTTTATTCATCAGAATAGAAAAAGACACAAATGAGCAATACAGAAAATAAAAGGGGGCAGTGACTATAGATGAAGTGTAAAAAAAAATACACTCAGATAGGATCTTCTGAATAACCTTATGTCAGAAACTGAAATCTTGGATAAAATGGGCTATAGGAAAAGTATCTTGGCCTGGGGATTTAGCTGAGTGGCACTGCGGCTGCCTCGCAAGCACAAGGTCCTGAGTTCAATCCCTGGTACTGCAAAAAAAAAAAAAAAAGTATCTTAGACTGACTGAAAAAATCAAAAGCTCTATGACTATTAAACAAATTGAAGCACAAAGAAAAGGCCACGTGATTTTATAAGCAAATTCTACCAAATGTTCAAAGAGCAGAAGATCCTAATTTTACACAATATCTTTGAAACAACCAGAAATTGAAGTAAATCTCTCAGCTCATTCTACAAGGCAAGAGTAACTCTTTTAACTCAAATCAGAAAAACCTATTACAAGAAAGGACTATAATAGGTTTATTTACATTATGAATATTGATATAAACACTTTTACAAAATATTAGTAATGGAAACCAGGAACATTTCTTTATGCTGAGTACATGATCAATTCTTATAAAAGTTTCTTTGAAATAT